TGAATGTCCCAGCAACAGATGGTCCATCTAAACGAGTTGTGATAATTACGATTTAGTATAACGTTCGATGAACCTGCTGAAAAATTGGTGAGGTTCGATTGCTGAAATATCTGTGACCCCTACACACTTAACACATTATATTTATTATCGAATATATGATCTGCAATATTCTGTATCCAATGTTACGCTTTCAATATTCTACATTCAGTATTATATTTTCAATATTGTATTATATATTCAATATTATATTTTCAACACTCGATGTCCGATATTATGCGTTCAGTATTCGTGATCCAATATTTGATGTTCAACGTACAATCGTTTAATATTTAAGTTTAATATTTCTAACTTTTACGTGTTTAATGTTTAAATTGTGAGAGATATTTAAATAAATTTCAACGTTAATTATAAATAGAAGAAAAATCCAAAACACAGTGGCCATTTCGGCAAACGTTCCAACGAATGTCAAAAGGCTTTTACATGTATTTCGTTTCCGAGGAGACTAAACTATCGTTTCGAATGACACTGTCGGCCAACATGCACGCTGTCATCGACTATAAAATCCGTGTTCGCGCGGTTGACAACACTTAGTTTCGAAGCATCGGCGACTTTCGTATTTCTGTTCCGCGACGCGTGGTGCAACTAAATTTGCACCCCGTTCGACAGTCCAACACGACTGCATCGCATCTCAATTTCATGAACAATTGCTCGGTCTACTTGGGTACACGTTTCTATCGCCTTACGCGTTCTTTGACATTATAGCTATCCTTGGCGTCACGTGACGCCGCAGAAGCAACATTAATATGTATGCAACGACAATTGTCCTTTCCGGAATAAATGCTAGTTTTTCACCTACCAGCGACTTCTTTAGTCATAACTCGAAATGTTCGAGGATTTCATAGAATATTGCGGTTACCGTTGTCTACGCTTTGGATGTATAGTTTGACAGCAGAGACTGTGTTGGTTAATTTTACAAGATTGATTGCCATCGTTCTACCTTTGTCAGTGCCAGCCAAGTCGCGACGATCGTAAATTAAGAAATGCGCGGAGTTATCTCCCGGAAAATCTAACGGAACGGGTACATATGAATATCAATGTTTGATTGTTTACCGGTCGTCCTTTTGGCTGCGTTTCCAGTGTCGCATTTTTTACTTTGCCGCGAAAAGTAACAGTTATTTGCGAACACTGCCCACGTTAAACGCCACGTTCCCGCGACTTTGAGCTTATTCTCGCGGACATTAGCGGACGGAAATATGTGAGCCACGAGTTTAGAAAATATCTGCACGTGCGAGATTGAAATCGACAGAAAAATTAAAGGTGCTATTTTTCAACACAGCGTAATACGATTGAGTGAGTAAAAGTAAATCGGCAGGAAGGAAAGAAATCTTTTCGTAAAAACATTGTTCATTGTCAATGCCACAAAATTGTTAAAAGAGGAACCAAAGAATTTGATCCGCAATGCTTGAAATTATTGCACGAATCGTACCTGTTCCTGACAATTACGCAACAAACGTTAATTGATTTCTATTCTATAAAAGCTGCATATTGAACACATACATATATGCGTTTCACCCCTTGGGCACATTTGACGACTGAGACTCGCCATGCACTTGTTTTGCCTAAGTTACGGATGACGAACCTAATTCGTCATTTAAGCTAGTTATTCGAACTTCTAACTACTTCGTATATTATATCGCTCAATTGAATGAATTGAACTTCTATACTATTCCGCGCATCAGCGAATTAAATACGTTCCAAACGCGAGAATTTTTTCAAAGAAATCTGTACCCAAGTGATTAAAGTTGAGTTTATCGAGAAAGAATTTTATTCTTCGTCACTGACTCATCTTTTACATAAGACATTTTTGTATATTTCCCTGCGCCGCAACAGAGCACAAAATGATCTTACATTGACGATGATTTTCCTTGTTCCAACATACATCGTAACGATATAATGATTCAATGTGAATCGAGTATTCAAATAGTTCGCGTTTTATTTGTTGCTTGAAACGTTTTCTCATCGACGTCGTAAATCCTCCGTCACTTATACAATATGTATAACGAGTTCGAAGAAAGAATCGCAATTAATTGTTCCAGCCATACACGGAAACCGTAAACGCGCTGGAACACGGAGGACGAACGTCAGCGAATGAATTTTAAATATCTCGCCTTAACTGTTACCGTATATCAGCGTTATGGGAGCATCCATTAGTCGAAATGCAGGAATAATCGACCGCAAGGCGTACCGACACTCTACACAGATATTTTCATAGCGTGTGCCTACGGGAAAATCCGTTAACTCTAAATATAAACCGACGGGCAGCACTTCACTGCAATATATTGAGGTCACGCAATTTTCTTTTCATCGCAAATATCGGCACGTTTCGCACGCGCTCGATTTTCGGCCATTCAGTTCGCCCCGGTTGTGTCACAGAAATTTTATCGTGCCGTTTTTAATCGTAAAATGACGTCCGTCGTAATTCGCCATCGAGTTTTCACTTGGCCGCGGTCCTAAGTAGAAATTCGAGAAGCTTCATTAATTGCGCGATAAAATTCGGCAATGTTGAAGGATACGTATTTGGCACAGTTTGTGCATGCAAGCAGTGTTGCTATATTTTTTGGGGAGCTCCTGAGGCGAATTTTAATTTCCACAACTCATTTGGTGAAAGGAACGAGGCACTTTATTTTGCTTCGGTTGAGTTTCGTTAATGTGCGGTTGATCAATGAAATATTGTGCAATCAATTATTGAAAGAATAATTAATAATCATTAGCGTCTTCGGTCTTTAGTGGCTTAGCATAAGAGCGCTAAATTCTTGCGAACGACTTACTAATTTTTGAGACGTGAAATGCACTTTGTTTCGATTGAATTGACTTGTAAAAGTATAATACGGGACTGAATATTGTAAAATCTTTTGAATTATAATAAATGCAATAGGTAGATTTTACGAGTTTAGCGTAAAAATAGGTAGGAGTAATTTGAAATAGTAACACGATTAAAGAAATTTATCAATCTCGATATATTATATCTTATTGAAATTATTAAAGGAAGAGCAAAATTTCTATTTTTATTTTGCGTAAAAATCCACAATCTAATAATAAGAAATGTAATAAAATACAAAGTACAATGAACTTTATTAATTTTCGCAAGGATCACAAGTGAGATACGAAGTATAATAAAATACAAAGCGTAATAAAATGCAAAGTGTAAGAAAATACAAAGTGTAATTGAGCTACACATGGTTTCGTGTAGTTTCCATTGTACGAGATTTACTGCAACATGAAAGGCATTCGTGCTAAACCCCATTTACGTCGAATATACGTTAAAAGTGAAAATTACATAAACATCCGCAGTTTGCTTGCCATAAAACTAAATTTATCCTTGCGCTTTGATTCACAATATTTAGTTATGCGCTAAAATATTATTAGATAAGCTGCGGGAACGTTTGCACTCAGTATACGTCGAATAAAGTATTCGAGATTTTTTCTAAAAGTCATCTTGAAAATAGAAATCGAGTTCTTTTTGTTAATATTTCGAAATGCGTTCTTTGACTGACGCAAATAATACCGCGGGTGTGCCTGATTCACAGAACGCGGTTGGAATTTGTCCCTATCGTATCGTTTTTCTGATTGGATTACTAAATGACGGCGATAATCATAGATATTTCGACAACAGGCAACGCCTACCGAAGATATTTTGTCCGCGAGCAACGTAGCTCGAAAAATGCACGCTTAATCGATTTCAAAATACTAGTTTTCAAACGTATGCGTCCTAAAAGTTGCGAATTATTAAATTCACAGTACTATTTAATACAATTTGATATAATTTCTTGTTATTCTTAATTCGTGCAACTTTCATAAAAAGAAAAAACAGGTAGAAAATGTCTTCCAATCGCAGCTTTTCAAAATTTACAGAAACTTCTGTGAAACATTTGTATTTTACAGCAAGTAAATGTATTAATAGTTGCTTCGAGTGCATTTTCAATGAAAGATGCACAAAAGAAGATGCTCGCAAACAAAATCCGCAAATTGACGAGTGTCAAGAAATTCTGCAATCGAAGATACGTTTCGTCGGCTGTGTCCGCACTTAACGATCAAAGAAAACCCGGAATTCAATACGCGTGCCAATAAAAACAATCGCCGTGCAGATTTTAATTTATTGGAAACAGTGGCAGACAGTCGTCGACGTTTTTTATAAATAGCCAGCCGGGAATCGGAGCCGTTCCCTCGCTTCAAATTAGAGATCATTGTTAACAAATGAAAGGAACGTTCCGCAGTCATCATTACCCGAGGAATCGGTTAAATTCTCATTAAAATGCGCATTGCAATACTTTGTTTAACCGGACGGCCTTCGATTAAAAACTGCTCGAGCTCTGTATAAAAAGCCGGAGCAGAAGAAACATATTACCGATGACAAATTGTTATATGATTAAGTCCGGTAGGACTGTCGCAGGTTTACTTCGAAGTGTCTTCCGACACTCGGTTAATTAATTTCTCCGCGTAAAAAGGGGAATGTATTACAGAAACGTGTCATTAGAAAATTAAAGGAATCATGATGCTGCAGCTTTCGCTATGGTATAATAGATTCAGAAGCGTGACTTACAAATAATCGACTTGTACCCAGTGTTCTCCGACGAATTTTATAAATTAAGAGAAACATTAACCCGTGAATTGATCGAACGTTCTTCTCGTATATTATGTGAAAATATTAAGACGGTGCGATGACGAATACAATTCTACGAGGACGACAATCGTTCTCGAAGATCTGCGTTCAATATGGTTGCATAAAGACCTGTTATGCATTTACGGGTTATAAATTATATAGCGATCGGCAGTCTACTGTGACAGCTTTTGAACGACTGATTCGAAACTTCTTCAGTCTCGCAAACCGCATGCTTCAGTCGAGTGCACGCGCGTTGCTCCTCATAATCCGATGCTAATCAAATCTTCGAAACGTCTTCGAATCATTCTCGCGTGTAACAGTGGGATTGTTATTGTTCTAGGTCTCTGTGTGACATTTAGTATACATGAATGGTTGGAGATTCGCCAGACATCGTCGGAGAAGGACCGGTCTCAGATCTAGGAGATCTAGAAGGATGGTGGGATAATCCTAGTATCGTGATCTGGAGTTTCGTCCTATTCGGCTGTTTCCTCTTGAATGTCACGCTTCTATTGGCATTCCTCGTGCGTCCGTCGTTGCGGACTATATCCAACAGGTTGGTGCCCGTTTCGATTATTTCCAACGGCTTCATTTATGCGTTTCATTCATCTCGATCGTATTAATCACACCCCGCGAATTTCGTATTAACCGTATTAATCACCCATATCTTTCCAATGTGGCACTCAACTTGTTAATCCAGAAACACTATAAATATTTAATTCAGCTCTCTATTTTATTTAGTTATTAGATTTCAGTTTTTATCTATGTATTCAGTGTCTACACATTTTAATAGACATTTTAGTTTAGTTGCTGTTGTATATTGGTATTAAACTGTCTCTATAATCTTGATTTGTGTATTCAAATTAATTTGTAAACACTGCGAACATTTTCTGTCGCAATTTTGTATAATTATCGGTCTACGTTTCGAGACGAAAAAGAATACAGATATGTGAATCGACTTGAGAAGTAAACATTGCTTTTAATGCAATCGAAAACAATGTTGCAGAATTAACTGTATCACTATGGTTTGCGTTCATTCGAAGTCCACAGACTTATTTCACCCGATAAAAATGTTGCCTGTGGTCTCCAGTAATTTTAATTGCGCAAGGATATCGATAGATTTGAAGAATTGAGAACGACAGGACGATGTATTATTCATAAAATACCGATATTCCTCTAATGGAATTGTTCACGAAAGAAGGAGGATAAAAATACCTTCCGATAAATGGAATGCCACGATTGGATTGCGGATCTCTATTATTTACAGTTCAGAAACAGTTTTAAAGCTCAATCCAATGCAGATTTCAATTATTTTTACTCTGCGAGAACTGCTGCTATAAAAATTGCATTTAATTAAGGTCAACAATGATCGAAATGTCGTTTTAAAATGCGACCCGTACGGTACGCCTGCAGAACTATTGCACAAATGTATAGTTCGAATCCTGGATTGGGAACGCAATTAAATGAAGACAATATTTTTATAACTTGTAACTTGACTACGGATTTTATGCATTTCTAACAGAAATGAGTAATTGAGAAATACAGAGTAATAATAAAGATATTGGAAGAATTTAAGAATATTATTAGACTATTTTCAATTTGTTTAAACAATTGGAAGAATAGATACACCTTCATTTATCTTCTTTTTTATACAATAGATGCAACAAATTTTTATTTTCCATAAAAATCCATAGTCTATATAGCTGGATTCATCTTATTATGTATTAATCAAGTAAAAGATAATAGAAAATTGGCATATTCTGTAACGTGATGATATACCAAGTGGCCTAACATTTCTATCTTCCATTCTTTCTTCTGATGTTTCTTGACCAACTTCGCTTAATAATCTAACATTATTATTTGTCATTCTTTCTTCCAAATATCCATGTTTCTCAAGTATCTTTGCAAACCCTCCAACATTTCTATTTTCCTTTCTAAACCTTCACATTTCTCGATCATCTTCGCAAGTCCCCCCACCCAATTAACAGCCAATGTCGTCTGTTCCAGATTCGTCATGAACCTAACCGTGTCGAATCTGTTGGTGTGCGCGATCATGAACCCGCTGCTGATCATAGACGCCTCCTCGTCGTCGCCCAACCCGCAACTGGTCGACGGATCTTCCATGGGGAACGTTTGCGCGATGTCGGATGGTGCGGTGGCCATCGTGACAACTTCATCGGTCTTCTCGGTCCTGTTGATCGCTGTGGATCAGTACTTCGCCGTGGTGGATCCACTCCGCTACCGTGCGCGGGTGGACAAACTGAAGTGCGGCATCCTGATCATATCCACGTGGGTGATCTCGATCATCTTCGGCTCTCTGGCGTTCTTCAATCCGAATCCTCGGGGATTTTGGCTCTCTTGCGCACCAACAAGCAACTCGTCAGCTTCCAACAACTCTTCCTTCGATCTCATAACCGAGCCCACGATCGCGATCCTAGAGACTGAAGCCGGCGAACTCAACGCCACTACGATCCCGGAGATGCTGGAGTCCGTGGCGTCTATAAGGATCAACGAGGACATCGATCTGATCGAGAATACCACCGTGATCTTGGACACATTCATCAGCAAGTCGATCACCTACGGTTTCGTGTACGCACTGGTCTACAGCATCTTCGCCTACATTCTACCCTTCGCTGCGGTCTGCTGGATCTACGTGAGCATCTACGTTGCAGCGCACAGGAATTCGGAGCGGGCCAGACGAAGCGGATCGAGGCCGATCCTCTCGTCAGCCAGCTTCAGCGAAGAACAGTACGGTCCCGGGAGGCTTCTGCGTCTGCAGGCCGAGGTAATCGACGATCTCCGCAAGCTGCCAAAGATATCCAGCTTGTCCTCCATCGACGAGACCAGCGAGACCATGCAGCCGACGGGACAGGTGTCTCGAAGAAGGTCCTTCTCTCCGCAGTTAGAAATCGAAATATCGCAACCCGTCGAGAACGAACAGCCTCCATCCGGGATCGTTTTCACGGTGGGTTCGCAGAGAGTGAAGATTTCCTCGGAGGACATCAGTCAGGAGCCCTGCGACGGAACTGGTGCCGAGGATCTAAAGAGAGATGCAGAGAAGCCTGATCAAGATGAGATCTTAGAAGACGCCACGGCGATGGAGAGCAGGCCGGTCACCTGGAATCTGAAGAACTTTGCGGAGACCAGCGATTCGGAGGACGACGCTCGCTTCGAGTGCTACGAGACCTTGGATGTCCTCGGCAAGAGTTCGTTCCAGTACGACCGGAAGCTCTCGTCGCCTTTCTGCGGCTACCAGTCGACCTTGCTGCACAGCTGTCTGAAGAGAGACGTTAGAGCGGTAAGGGAGGAGGAAGATGATAAAAATGAGTCGAAACTGGACAGGATCATTGTGCAGGATCAGACCAGGGAACGCGTGGCAGACATGTGCCGATTGGACGATCCCTGTGTTGGAGAAGGAAAACTGTCGACGGTGTTCACCAGCGAGGATGTCGGGCCAAGCAGACGCAACAGCTCCAGCACCATCTACAATAAGACTGAAGGAGGCTGCAATAATGCAACTGAGCTGTCCTCTTGTCTGCTGGCGCCGATCGTGACGATCACGCCGGCCCCGAGCAAGAGCGAGGCTCTGCATCGCGTGTCGAGCGTCAGAAGCACGTCGAGCTACATAAGTTTGCTAAAGGACAGAATCAGCAACGGAGCCATTTTTAGACACCGCGAGGAAACCAGGGCGGCTAGAATAAGCGCCCTGGTCATAGTAATGGGTCTAATTTGTTGGTCGCCGTATGTGATACTGTTGGTAATGAACAATCTGCCTCGACCCACTGACCAACATCTGCCACGCAAATACGACGCGTTGGCCTCCAGCTTCTTAATTTTGGCCGCCTACATTAGCCCGTTGTTGTTCGGCTATCGGTCGCGACGCGTGAAACGCGAGCTCAGACGGTTCTTCTGCTTCAGGCGCGAGCTCTCCTACAAGAACAATAGGAGCCTAATGGCGAAGAAGGTGCTGAAAAGAAGGCACAGCAGCACCCTAAGCCATCTCGAGGTCGACCACAAGTACAACATCTTCAACTGCATGTACGGCCGGAATCGGTGGCCCAAGGAGAAAGTGCAGTTCGTGCAGGTGCCTGATACAGCTCTGGCTGTTGAAACTTGCAGAAGCAGTTTCTCCAGCGGTGCCAGCACTCAGATATCCAGCACGTCCACGGATGATGGCTGAATAATTGTGCTAGGACTTGGACAATGTTCCAGGTGGAATTTCAGACAGGATTTCGGTTCTTGAAACGGCGCGAAGAACTTTTACCCTGAGTAATTGTTAGGGAAGAGATTTCCAACTGCTATATGTTTCTGTTATGGTTCTTTATGTGCCAACCTTTGTGCTTTAAATCGATTCTAAAACTATCAGTAATTGTTGTAACTACAAATTACTCTGTACATGGAGAAAAAGAGACATTTCTACATATTATTGACTTCTAATAAAGCATTGAAATAATGCAGTTACAGATTTTTCACATTCACATACAGTATGTGTTATTCAGAACAGGATGTTAACAAATAGAAGTTTTAGTTTCCTGTTTTCAATTTTTACTCCATTTTGTATTGTAGTTAATGCAAAGAATAAAACATAAAAATACAACATGAGTTCTTGCAGTGTTAGTAGTGATACTAATTGCATATGAGTTGCGAATTAGGTCCAACATAGGTGCTGGTCCAAATCTGGCTACCTTAATAAACTTGGTTGTGCAATTGTACTTCGGTAGAATATCATTTCTGATGTCCGACATTATTGGACTAGAACCGAAATAGAACCGTAAGTGAAACAGATAGTACTTGAAAGAATATGATACAACTGATAACAATTCTATCATCTTGATAGAATTATTAAGAATAAAGATTCTTCGTATCAGTTATTCAAAATAAAGGATAACTGTTTTAATCAGCATAAAAATTCTTCGTAACTGTTTTAATCAGAATTTTTAGTTTTTCTGAATAGTTTGAAGCCCTGGCTTCTGGTACTGATCACGATTGTTCAGAGTACTTAATGCGCTGTGCCTCCTGTTCGGTGAAAATATGCACTCGTCCGTTACTTATTGAAAGTCTGTACAGTTTCTGGCGTCCATATTATTCTAAGCTGAATGAAAATTGGAGAAAGAAACTCTCTGTTTTTTGAAATTGGAAAGGTTCTCATGGTTCAGAAAATTTCATAGTTTCTGTTACTAAGTTTGCGGTGCAATATTAAGTCAATTTGCATACAATTGCGTCCAAGAGTGGACACGTTGTCGTCAGAAATGTACACAAAGCGCTTGGCGTTGACACTAATTTACATGGTACATCGTATACAGAGTGACGCTAATATACTGTCGAATAATATAATGTGACAAACACAGTTGTAACAGAGTTAGAGAAAGACTTCGAAGATATAATCGGTAAATGTAGGAAAATCAACGTTGAATATCTAACATTTTAATCTAGACTTCGTGTTGTCGAGAATCACGAAAAGTGTGTTGTATGTTAGATATAAATCATATTTAATCACACATTTTTTACTTTGGATAAGAGAACGTGTAACGACGTTTTTATACACTTCGTATTGTTATGAAGTAGAAAAATATCAACGTTTCTTGATTCTAACTCTAAGACGTTAAGATAACTAACTCTCTTTTCTGTTGCTCCACGAGTATGCAGTGTTTCATTTGAATCGGTGCCAAACACTTTGCGAATGTCATTTGTTGGCACGTGTATGCATCTATGAATGAATGAATTGTCAAAAAATTGGCTATCCGTTCATTCATTTTTCGATTTTAGTGAATTGAATCGTCGACGTTCTGTGAGACGTATTGATCATCTCGGTATGAAAATAGATCATTGGTCACATCCGTTTTCCATAAATCACCTGAGAAAGAGCGAAAGAAAAATGACACTGTCTGCAATAGATAAATACTCTCTTTAACGTATTTTGTCATATACGTTTCATTGTAACAGAAAATGACAGAGACAATAAGAAATCAATAGGTAACATTTTATGAGTCTGTAACATGTTGATCGCCGCTAAAGTAATTACTTATGTAACTAATAAGTTTTTACTGTATGGCAATCATCATAAGTGACTGCCAATTAAATTAAAAATAATGAAAAATTGTTTCAAGGGATAAATGTGGATATCGCGTTCTAAAAAAAATGTACACGTCCAAGTGAACTAACAGATTATCGAATGTATTGCTAAAATACAGAAATCGGTTGCTATTTTCGGATGTCAGAAAATACGCGAATACATTATCGTCGACGAATTGTTAATCCCGCAATGATCCGCTTATTCATCTTCTTAATTAGTACGTTGAAAAACTCAGCGTTTGCAATAGCGCAAAATACAGAGTTACGTAATTCGAGCATTCGTGTTCCTACACACACGAGTTCAAAAGACTGCATCGTAAATTTCTCGTTCCAGTAATTCTTTACAAACTTGTCTCCAAGGCTTTTGACTTTTTACATTGATGAAAAGCTTGATAAGCTTCGTTTTTACGACTGCAACCGGACGTTAATGAGGTTGACCGACTCAAGGTTACTTTACGTACTTAAGTGGCGTCGTAAACTACCTCCTGTCGCTCGGTATCGCAAATGGTACCAATTTTTGTAAAACTTAAAAGAGGGAATTTCGCTTGGATATTTAAAAGCATCCAAACAATGTACTAGAACTCTCCTTTAAGACAGTTAAAATTTCAAATTGCTTGATCCAGTATTTTCTTGTTAATAATGTGAAACAGCCAGAACATTGATCGAAGACAAGATCTTCGAAGTTTGAAGTTATATTTCGAGATAATTTTGACAATATTGCAAGTTTTAATTACTGATTTTACAGAGTCGTTACTAAAAAGTTGAACTGCAAGATTTTGAAAAGAAAAATCGTTTTTTTTCACTAGAAAAAGCAAATTTCCTCCTTGAAACGACTGCCTTTCAGCTTTCTGGAAAGCTGATAGTGAAAACTGTCTGTGAAAACCTTTTATGTATGTAGCCTTTTAGTCACTTTATTACTCTTCTCCCACCGATATCAACACTTCAACCACTCGTATGGCAGCAAACGTATTAACAGTCGCCGTTAAATTACAGTTCAATGATCATATTTCCATTCCGAAAAAATTGCCAATCTAGTCACAACATTTCTTTCACGAACAGGAACCTGAAAATGACTTCACTTGATCCATATTTATTTTCTGGTTGTATATCGAATGCGCAAACAGTACATATGTAGGTGTTTACGTTCATTTGTTATTAGCAATCATTTTATTGTATCTGTAAATTGTTTCGCTCTTTTTCTGTGGAAGATAGCATGTTCTGGTTTAGTAATGCTACAATTTTACTGTACAATGGTTCAAAGTCGTTTTAAGTAGAGAGAGAAAGAGAAATTATTTTATGACATGGATACAATGAACTCTATTTGCAGCGAATTATATGATCGATTCGCAATATTTTCTGCGAAATAAATTATTATTTTATTGAAAGAGCTCGGAAGTGAACGAAAATACACTACGATTGTGTAACATGAATGAATTAAGGGACTTTAACATTTACAACGATATTTTATGTTGTACGTTGTTCTAACTTATTGGACGTTTTTGTAATTAGATTACGCAACCGCTAAAGTACGTCAATATTTATAAGTCTGTACCGATGGTGTATTTCTTCTGTTTATTTATGTGAGGACGTCGAGCCCGCGATGTTAATAATTATTAAATCGTGTAGGTTTATGTGTAGACGTTTGAAAACTTCAGAGAATTGAAACCGTAATGAAGAACCTTGTTCAATTTTAATTATTACTATTCGAAGGTTTGCAAAGCAAACTGGGTATTCATTTATCACTTCTAAAGTACATTGTGAAAGTCTTAAGAGTGAATGGAACTTGTAAAATGGAACAGAGAAACATTGAGCATTGATGAACGAACCAATTGTGCTATGGGTGTCCTAATTGTGAGCTTTGTGTCCATTTTTTCTGGACAACTAAAATAGCCAACGAGGTTCCGATATTTTTATTTCAATCTACGTTCATTGTGACTTTCTATTCCTTTTTGTGGGTTTACGAACAAGCTGGGTGCGCACCGGTTGTTCTGAAACAGTTTGTGAAATCGTAGACGTGTATTTAGTGTTGTGAGACTTTAAAAAGTAACTGCGATTGCGGATCTTCTTGCGCATTGCCATCGATTAGAATCTAAAATCTAGGGGAAATAATCTTTGGTCTACTAAACAATTCAATTGATTGAACAATCCAATTAATTCAAATTGGAGGATACAATTGAGAAAACTGCTCATGGGAACTCGTAGACTACTGTCCAAACCATAATTTCCTTAAACTTAAATGATCTAATAGTGATTTCAAAATTTCAATTTCTGCTTATCTTATTTTTTCTGTTCTCTCTCGAAAAAAAAAGTTTTGTTAATGCATACATGCACAAAGATCCGCAGTCTAATGATAGCTCTTGGATGACCTATTTATTGATGAACGCGGCGAGATATTTCCGCAGGCGCCGCCGTGTAAATATGTATACATTTCATGACAAATCTCATGCGGATCTTTGAAATGTCAAGGATATTTCACCACTATTTTGTACATTACAAATACAAGTACCTTTATTTATATTAAATAGACTGTACATACAAAAGCGACGCGATATCGATTCCGTACATCGCGTCGCTGTTTCGGTTCGTTATTGTGTCTGTGTGCGTGTGTTTTGAACATGTACCTTTCCATATCTCTCTGTGTGGACACATGTATACATGTATATTAAACAAGTTATTTTTAATACACTAAAATCGTGTTACGAATTTTTACACCCTTATCTCTCGTAAATGAAACAACCGTGAAACGCACACAAGCGTTTCTTTTATTAAAAATCATACGTCTGGACAATGTAGCTTTTATTGTGCTTAATACAATTATCGGAAATTGTTGCTTGAATCGTTTTGAAAAACGCTTGAAATTATGCTATATGCAAATCGTTCGATTCAAACATATATGTATATATATTTGGTGTGGCTCGTAGAAACGTAAAAATGATAGTTCAACCCTTACACTATCACTTGTTTCTTACTTTCGAATTCAAGATAATTTTCATGTTACGCACTCGAATAATCTGATAAGGATTAAATGCGTGGTAAAACATTTTTTGAATTATGTTAAGGGACAGGGTGCGATTGAAATTAGTGGCGAAACTTTGGCATCGTTTCCCTAAGGGGTATAAAAAAGATTTGAAAAAACTTCTCCGACAACTATTCCACCCTTATTGTTTCTTTAAACGCTTTAAATATTTCTGCAATATTCTGCCTTGAACACAAATGATATACGTATATCCTGGAAAGTGAAGTGATCCATTTGCATTTTTGGAAAGGGTAGAACATATTATTAAAATTTTAATATGGCATAAGGGGTGTTAAGTTCCAACTTGTAACAATCTGTGCAGTTAAAGTAAGTCTTAACTGCCAGAAGTATTAAGTTGGCGAAAAAGTTTTGACAGTAAAATCGTATTGATCTTATAAGCATAAATCTCCATATACTTTTCGGAACAGATTCGCGTGATTGTGTTGGATTGAAATAAACGAATGCACTACACACGACCGAACAGAACGAACCTGATTTTCAACTTATGCTATTTAATCGAGAGTACCCTAAGCTTATCTTATGGATACCGCTGGTCTCTTATAGTAGTCTAAGAGCTGACATTCATCGTCGCATTTAACCAATAAAGAGTCAGTCTAGCACGTTACGCAGAATTCCACAGTTTCGAAGGTCATAATGAATCCGGACCAAAGCATAGTCTCCGAAAGTTGAATTCTGCAGGTATTATACATTAACGAATTCATAGCAGCTCGCCTAGCCGGCGTAATGACGATCCTGCTTTTCTTCTCTCTTGCCGTGATTATTTTCATTCTCGTAGCCCGTACAGTCCAGTTCCTTCCATCAAGACCAATAGCAAGGAGTGGAAATAACAATTCTTATATCTCTACCCACATGTTTATGGAAACGTTTGTTACACGTTGGCGAGGTGCTTCCGATGAAAACGAGACTAAATGTAAGCCGACCCCCGACTTATTTGCATTTCCAAGCTGTTTTCCAGCGAAAGCAAAGTAATTTCATCTGTGATACGAGCACTGGTACCGAAAAACATGCCTGAAAATCTGGGTGCTTCAAAATTTTCGTTCTTGTCTGATCTTATTTTCTCTTGGCCGTCTCTTTGTTCCTGCCGAGTAAATAAATCAGCTGGCATCTTCCGCAACGACTAACGCTTTTGGACAAGATACGATTCGAGCTTCTGCTGTACGATGCTTCGATCAACGTATTCTGACAAACTGTCATGTACCCTGTCGCTTTTGTTTTACTGCTGCAATAGACAGCGAATCGTGCAGTAGTTCGAGTAATTCCGGATACTATTTACAATTTATGATACGCGTTTCCCCGCTATAGCCTAGAGTTCTCGATCTTGAATGGCCGTTCCGGGTATAATCGAGGGAGTTCTAGGGTAGGTATGCTCCCTTCGTCGTGTGTGAACATGCTATTGTCGTAGCCGAATGTTGGCTTGCTGGTGATTACCGGCGTCGGAGGGTCCTCTACCTTCGTGGCTCCGTCCATCAAAAACATCGTAAAGAAGAACATGATGGAACCTGCAAGAATGGAAGAGGAATCTGTACTATGAGACATCTTCGAAACCATTCATGAAACATTGATACAGTAAATTCTTCCTAATTGACTCTCAGTTTGGAAACAAAAATGGACAATTTGGAAAGAGGAGATACGATTATTCGAGCCTTGCGATTCCTTTTTATAGTTACCGATTGTCAAGAGCTCTAAAAACGAGGATTTACTGCATTTTATTGCTTGTTTTCTTATTTTAAAGACGTGTTTCAGTCTTTCAAATATTTTATCATCGCTAACTGTAAACTGCAGGAAATACCCATATACTTATTTCTGTTTGTAACAATTATAACGAGCTGAATTCAGCATAATAGTATTTTTGAATTCTTTAAAATTTGATCTACTTGTTTTTCTCATAAACGCATAAAATCCACAGTCTGATCGTCACTTACCGNTCCTTCCATCAAGACCAATAGCAAGGAGTGGAAATAACAATTCTTATATCTCTACCCACATGTTTATGGAAACGTTTGTTACACGTTGGCGAGGTGCTTCCGATGAAAACGAGACTAAATGTAAGCCGACCCCCGACTTATTTGCATTTCCAAGCTGTTTTCCAGCGAAAGCAAAGTAATTTCATCTGTGATACGAGCACTGGTACCGAAAAACATGCCTGAAAATCTGGGTGCTTCAAAATTTTCGTTCTTGTCTGATCTTATTTTCTCTTGGCCGTCTCTTTGTTCCTGCCGAGTAAATAAATCAGCTGGCATCTTCCGCAACGACTAACGCTTTTGGACAAGATACGATTCGAGCTTCTGCTGTACGATGCTTCGATCAACGTATTCTGACAAACTGTCATGTACCCTGTCGCTTTTGTTTTACTGCTGCAATAGACAGCGAATCGTGCAGTAGTTCGAGTAATTCCGGATACTATTTACAATTTATGATACGCGTTTCCCCGCTATAGCCTAGAGTTCTCGATCTTGAATGGCCGTTCCGGGTATAATCGAGGGAGTTCTAGGGTAGGTATGCTCCCTTCGTCGTGTGTGAACATGCTATTGTCGTAGCCGAATGTTGGCTTGCTGGTGATTACCGGCGTCGGAGGGTCCTCTACCTTCGTGGCTCCGTCCATCAAAAACATCGTAAAGAAGAACATGATGGAACCTGCAAGAATGGAAGAGGAATCTGTACTATGAGACATCTTCGAAACCATTCATGAAACATTGATACAGTAAATTCTTCCTAATTGACTCTCAGTTTGGAAACAAAAATGGACAATTTGGAAAGAGGAGATACGATTATTCGAGCCTTGCGATTCCTTTTTATAGTTACCGATTGTCAAGAGCTCTAAAAACGAGGATTTACTGCATTTTATTGCTTGTTTTCTTATTTTAAAGACGTGTTTCAGTCTTTCAAATATTTTATCATCGCTAACTGTAAACTGCAGGAAATACCCATATACTTATTTCTGTTTGTAACAATTATAACGAGCTGAATTCAGCATAATAGTATTTTTGAATTCTTTAAAATTTGATCTACTTGTTTTTCTCATAAACGCATAAAATCCACAGTCTGATCGTCACTTACCGACGTAACGATTTTGATCCGTGTACACTGTTCGAAAAATTCTTGTATTATTGCTTCGTAAATTCAATTGGATCGGAATTGGCATCGAATTGCAAGAAACATAATGTGCGGATCGCGGATTTTTATGCAAACGTGACAAGAATGAGTGGACGAAATACAAAAGAATATCGAACGAATTTAAAGCTCTATCTTCAACGCGTCGAAATTATCGACCGAAGAAACCAATGTTTATGCAACTTTTATTTCTTGCAATTGTCAGAAATTATATTTATGTTGCGTAGGTATCCGCAGTGTCGTAATTGGGAGAACAATTTGTAACAATATTGATGCGACAGAAGGCGAAATAAGGATTCGCGTTCGGACAACATTGATCCAATGTGTACGAGGATGAAATCGATGCACGCCGCGGTTAAACGATCCGCGAACTGTGTTACGGGTTATTGTTAACTGTTCGCGATTACTCACTGATGCCATAGAATCCAGCGTAAAATATATAAAGGGATTCTCGGAAGCCAATAGCCGTTCTGGTCGGCTCAACGAGTATCGGCAAGTTTCCGCCAATATTGTTCATCACGAATAAGAAAGCACCGATAGTCGTTGATCGGAAGTGTAGCGGGACTATTTCCACCACTACGGCGAAGACTATGCCGAACCACATTTCGGCTGCAATTCAAAGAACGTTTGCGTGTAATTGTCTGTTCAGAATACGGTGGCAATTATATGTATGTATCCATGAAGCTAAAGAACATCGAATGTGAAAAACTTACCGAAAAAGTAAGAAATACCAAGAGTGATCATTGCCCATAGAGGGTTGAAGTACACCGAACCAAATGCGAACGGTGTCGCTACTATTTGACTGATGGCCAGACAGGCCACCCTCGATCGGATTCCCATTTTCGCCACGAACTTGTCACTGACAACACCACCGACCACGACACCGATGCTGCCTATCACAATCGTCACGGCGAACAACCACCAGCCGAGGTCGTAGTCGGGGAAGTAATCCCTGTAGTAAAGATCGCAATTGTAAGCGAAACACATGCCACCTGGAAAGGAGAACAATGGTGTGAAGTGATAGAAACACTTATATAATGCTTGAAAGATTTACACAAAGAAATGATCGATCTGCTAAACCAGAAATTCTGACCTCGGATCTTCGAATAATACATTTTTCTCGAAGTTTCTTGAACCAGAAATATTTCAGAAGATGTATGCAGAACGATTTGTTCGAATTCGTAAAAGTGGCGAAGTCGAAGATGTTGAAATAACCGACGAGAAAAACTTTGAACGCGTTCTTCGCGAAACCTCATTTTCGAAACTATTGCCACGATACCTTAAGTTCTAGTGAATCAATTGACTTGAAATTTCTAGAACATCTGCAGTATGTATTCTGTTATCTTGTGAACCAAAACTTTTTAATTCCGTCGCCTTTTTCTTATTCCATGAACGTGCTAGTGGCGAAAAAATATTTAGAGAACCAATAATCTCTATTCAAAATACTACCATTTTGTAAATAGTCAAGATTACTACACTATTTTGGTTCAGATCATAACGAGATTTATGTTATACAAGATGATCTGGTAATTTCTTGCGTTAGATAAGCGGGGTAGCCCAAATTATGCCATTTTTACAAATTTTTGTAAAACACGTTGAACAAAATATAACTACACTACTTTATATTTCTCTTATCAATTTCTGTCATAAATGCATAAAATTCGCCGTCTATTAATTACCTATACATACATGTATCGGGACCTAATTTATTGATTAAATTTTAATAGATCTCCATCTTTAATTTCTATCATTTGATAACGGTTCAAAAGTTGCAACAATTTATCTGCAAAACTTTCAACTATCCACGCGTTCGAAATGTTTTGCATTCGAAATTATGATAAATAAACGAGTAGTAGTCGAAGTAAACTAGTCACGTGGACGCCAATATAACCTGCGAATGTATCTCAATCCTTCGCGCTAAGGTATTGCCCTTTACCGCAATGTCTGATGCTCGCAGCCAAGCAGAGAAGTATGATCCTCGGTTGCAGGATCACTTTCCAAATGGGTGTTCTTTTCCCATCCTTGTTCGTTTCCTCTTCGCCGATCGTCTTTCGCTTCGGTTCGGATAACGTCAAAGTGAAAGCTGCTATAATCAGCCCGATTATTCCAGCTCCGTAGTAACACGCCCTCCATCCCTGTAGAAATCAATTTTAACGCAAACGTGTACGCGATGCGTTTATGGGGGCAAAGTGTACGACGCGCAAGCGAGAGAGGCTTTCCAACTTTTCATCGGTTTCTGTCGCGTAACGCCGTCTACCGATAATTTATTGTTTATTCGACGAGAATGAAGCTTGGACCATTCGATGGGGCAAATAGTAATGAATATTCTAACTTTTGTTACGGATGCTCTTATAATTGATCACTGCGGAATTTACGCACTTGTGATCAAAATGAGGAGGTGTCTAAAAAACTAAAGAAAGAGAAAACAGGAAAAAGAGGAAGAACGAAAAAGAATTCTGTAATGTTTGCAAATTTTTACTTACTATTTCATTCTTGATATTAACTACGCAGTGGGAGAAATATTTGGAGAAATTACTGTACTATGTTATTGTACTATTTGAACAACTGGAATTTTTCTGTTAATATAATTATTAACTAAATGGATGAAAAAGAATGTCCCTGTGACACACTGTAGTTACACTTTCAAATTTAACGTAACGGTGCTTACCAAATCCCCAATGTTCAGTTTAGGCACGTAACGACCAACGGGAAACGCTATTCCGTATCCTCCATAGATTCCCCAGTTGAAAATCGACATAACAAGCCCTCTTTGCTTTTCTGGGAACCAGTCTGAGAGTAGCCCCGTTGCCAGAGGATTGCATCCCGCCTCTCTATACGAGAAACACGGAGAAGGATAATAGGAACCAGAAGAAAAATTGACTACCTCGTAGATCAAATTGCATTTGTCTCACCCTGCAGCCAATATCATCCGAAGAACAACCAACTGCCAGTATTCTTTCACCGCTCCCATCAGTACTATCGCGATACTGAAGATGAGGGTGCATATTGTCAGCAACCTTACCCTGCGAATCAAAGGTACGTTCATTATCTGTTCTAATCGGCGAGCTCATATTATTCGACGGCTATGGAAACAGAGATTAACTTGCAAACATGTTTGCTATCAGATACTGTTCTACTTCGGCGAGTTTATATTAGTCGATGGCCATGGAAATTGAAGATTAACTTGCAAACTTATTTTAAACAGATCGCGTGCACAAAACAAACTCGTAAAAGAGCGAAACAGTTACGCAAATATCTTATAATTGCAGATAATATCAAAGCAGAGGATGCGATCGAAAATTTTATAACTACTGGAAGCTCCAAGTTAGGGTGCTGCATTCTTTTATGCGCCTTGATCATGCGATAGCGATCTTTGTGCCATTGGAAGACCGGATCGAGGCTCGTGCAGATAATTTTCTACGATTCGACTCGGTTACGTGTCATTCATTTGCTGGAACCAATAGGGACGCGGATAAGATCGCATTCAGGATTTCAATTCCCGCAAATATTTATATAGAGTCGGTTCGTCACCGAGCAAATACGGAACAGTTACGTAATATGACGAAAGATACACCGGTTGTCTAACGGTGTGTGTAATATGCAGCAGTTTTTCCTTCTGAACGTAGATTAGTAGTGGTGTCAGGCGCATCTAAGCTGGTAAGACACAGCGACAGGATCTGCGTACGGCATTGCCAAGAGGCGTTGCAACGGTAGTGGCAACCTCAGCAACGGTACAGGTTGTGTAATTCCCGGAGAAGTAATTTAATAACGATTCGAGAGAGAAGCTAACAGATTTACCTATTATATTTATCAGCTGCGACACCCAAGACGACGCCGACTATCGTGAACACCGCGATGAAGCTCGGGCCCGCCAGGATTTGATAGTCCAGACCAAGGCCGTTGTAGTTCCATTCGCAATAGCGTGTGCCGTTCAGCTCCAGGGACTCGCAGCTGCAAAACAACGGAACACCTTCAACGATCGCGTTCGATTTGGAGCGAAAGTAAAGCGAATGTATTCGGAGTTTATTCTATTCGCAGTAACCATTGTCGGCGAAAGCCCCGATGCAAGTCCCGCTAACAGGACAAAGTTCTTGGTAAATTCTACAGATCACGTGCATCGAGAACGTCTTCATCGGCTTGCAATTTATTCGTCATAGCATTAACACTGTGATGGAAGGAATAAATCACGACTCGATAAAGGTGTTGTTCATATACAGTTATTTACTAAAATATCTTCTTCGTAATTGCACCGAATGACTTGAATTTTTCGCAGATTTTTGAAGGAATAGTTTACTAGACAATGTTCAAATTTCGTATAAAAATGCTAATTGATTGGAATGAGAATAGAATTCAAAAGGAGATGAGATACAAAAATATATTAAGCCATTTAGTGGCAAAAAGTTACTAATTGCGAGGATATTTTTGATTCGATCAAGACGTCAGTTTTTCGGATGATGTTGACATTTAGAGCTGAAGTATCGAAACTTACTAGCTCTCGTTCTTGGCAGCTTCGCATTGAATCGGGAGCTCCGCGATGGATAGCGTCGTCGAGTTTAATTGACAGGAAATGTCACCATAGTGTAGATCTTCCGCCGTGGCTTTGCTGGTGACACCTTGGAAACGAAAATAGGAGAACGCTGTTAGCCTAGTTGGTCTAGAAATGCCCGATTAAAATTGACCAGCTGCCCAATACAAGGAAAATAAATATACATTGGTTTCTTACAAGCTGGAAACTTCTACGGAATTAAACCAAATTAGGTGTCTAAAGAGAAAGAGGGAGAACAATGATGGATGAAGGACCAATTTGCAAATATTTTCTTAGGGTAGAGGAGGTACGACCAGTATCGCATGTATCACTTACCGATTAAATAATGACCTAGCTCCCCGAGCACGTACCCGATGGAAACTACACCCAACGCGTATGGTTTGTACAGGAATTTGATCTTCTGGAGCGCCGAACTTAACATCGTTACCTGGAACAATCGTTATTCCAGCTTCACGAGAAGTGCTAGAAACGTTTCTTTCGTTGGCCGAAAAATGTATCATATTTTCTTTAATTTCTCTGAACAAAGAAAAGTGAATTCGTAAAGAACGTTCAATGTTGAATTTGCGAAACTAATTTTTATAAACAGTTTTACAAATCCGATGTTGAATTTTCCTTTCGAAGAAATCCTGTCATCCCTTAGAATAGAAGAGCTCCTAGATGGCGGACAGGGGACGGTGGGTGTACATAAATATTTATTTCGGTGAATGAATAACGTTTAGTCATCAACATGTCGGTCAAATTTAATGGCAGGCAGCCCGACATGTTAATAGCTTGCTGTAAAATATGGATTGCGCAACGCGCGGAATCATGACTCCACGAGTCCGCATTAATTATTGGGAGAATTATGCGAGGCAAGGCGTTTACATACTTGTTAACGTTTACTCAATCGTAAATATACCGTGGCCGATTGCATCTCCGAACGTTATACGAGGGGGAGTTGTCGTTATTCCGTTTTCCGGCGATCCCGCCGCGTCGTTGCGCATTCATGTTTAATATTGACCACGCAAATTTACGGCTCGACAACTGTAAATCGCATCCGGCGATGCTTCCAGCGGGAATCGGGCCTGCAGGAAGTAACCTGTGTTTTTGGATCAACAAATTATTGCACCGATAGTAAAATCGTTGACGACGCAGGTTTAAAATTACTGCTTTCAATGTAAGTTGACCGACATTAATAACCTTGACATATTCTTGCACGATCTTCAAATGAATGCTCTTGGTCCATCCTCTGTTTCCAGTAATACACACTTATCATTTCTTTGTGATTCTTTCGATTCGATGTATTTGTTTAACATATGGGGTTGGAAGTGGAATACGATTGAATGGATTGAAGTGTAAAAGGAAAATAAATGATTATTAACCTTCGTGTAGCTGTTTTCGAAGAACGTATGAAAGTTCGTGGAAGTAAAATACTATTTTGGAAACAGAGATTAACTTGCAAACATGTTTGCTATCAGATACTGTTCTACTTCGGCGAGTTTATATTAGTCGATGGCCATGGAAATTGAAGATTAATTTGTACGTGATTGAAGATAAACGATATCTTTCTTTCTTCTATGTTCTAGATATTTATGCAAAGTAGAAATTTTCTGTGTCGACGACACGAGACCAGAAGCTAAATGGAATATTTCTTTCTTCAATCACCTATAGATACTTATGCAAAATAGACATTTTCTGTGTCAACTGCATGAATGGAAGCCAAGTAGAATATTTCTTTCTTCAATCACCTGTAGATACTTGTGCGAAATAAAAATTTTCTATGTAAATTGTACGAGAAGCCAAATAGAATCGATTTTTCTTCGATCATTTAAGAAAGGTAAAAATAAATCTATTGATGCACCCCATTCTTTTTGTCTTTATATGTTTTAAACAAACAATTATTTACTTAAAAATTCTGATACGATAATGCAGTTATTAATTTAAGGATATTTTCTCAAATTATTAGAACGAGACGAATAAGATAGAAGATGTAGCAAATATCAATGAAGACATTTAGAACACGTTGGATTGTTAATATTAGCTCAATAAGCACAGTCGCTTGGAACGTCATGAATTTCATTGTTTGCAACGTTACACGGCAATTGGCTGGTTTCAGTCGACACGGAGCCAATGAACTAATAAACAAGGTAAAACCTCGATTATTACAATCCGCGTAAGTGGTAAATGCTGGATAGAAATGTTGGCGTGCATTTCAGTAGGACGTCAACACGCGTGCGTGTGACTCGGTTGCCTTGAACCAAAATCATTGAGACAGAACAGACATGATCGTTTTAATCATGTTAAGCACTTTGTTTATATTAATAACGACGAAATCGTTTTCACTTGTTAAGCGAAACCAGTTTATAGATTATAATGCCACATAGAATTCATTTCGATTAATCAACTTAACAAAGATGATCAGAGATTATGCAATGTTATAAACATTATATCCGCGATTAGAAGAACGTAATTTATCGATCGCGTAGCTATACATGCAACGCACACTACTGTTTATTTTACAATTAACAAATTACATCGACCGAAGAAAATACGAAATTGACGCACGAGCCAATGAAATAGTACGGTGTAAAAGTTAGCAATGATTCATTGTAGCAACTACACCCGCGAACAATTTCCATGATTCTTCGTCTTGTACGACGCGCGATTTATGATCCTATCTTTTACAAATCATCCTGCGGCCTGCAAATACTCGTGACGTATAAAAACGATAATGCAGCGGCAATGTAACATGGCTAATTACAACAATGTATGTCCAATGGCACTTGTTATCACTCGAAGACCTGTTACTCAACGCACGATAATTTGCCGCAATTAGGATCCATTAGCGGAATCGGTTTTCGCGAAATTCCGAATCATGATTTCAGAGACGGTTGCCATGGAAACATCTAGTTTGGTCCATCTGCAAATAACTATTAACGTCAATTCAACTTCCTTGAACATTATGTAATCCATGCTTTGCTGATTTTTACAGTGTTGAATTCACTGTGTGTTCCTTTCTCTATGCGTCGTCACTAAGCTGTTCAACTGCATTTTATTTTTATCTGATTCAGTAATAGATTGCTTCGTTACTAAGCATTATTTATTGTTAATATCTCTTTTGTTAAAAACATGGACTATCGAGGCTGTAAGTATTTTTTTCATCGTGCTAATGTAAACATTCTTCCCTCTCAAAAAACTGACGTAAACAGTTGATAAAATAGTGAGTTTCTAAACCCCTTCCACCTCGTAAATTGATTTTAAAAAATTATAACTTTTATCTTGATAATAGTAAAATTTATTTCATCCAATTTGTCTTGATGGGGAACAAAAGAGCTGTGTTGGTATTGAATAATATTTTCATAAATGGTTAAATAGCAATATTTGAAATGGCATCTTTTCGATACAATAGTTTTACGACAAACGCTTTTTCAGCCTTAAAAAGCGGACCATAAAATGGTAATTAACAATCATATCAGAGCAGATCAATTTCGGGCACCATCCATAATCGTCCTTCTGCGAGATATCAGCAAAAAAGCTAGCAGATCAAGGACATTTTTCTTAGAACTAGTTAATTTCGATTGAAACCGAATGACTCTGGAAGAGTGGGGATCGACGATCGGATCATCGACCCTTCCAAGGAGGATCCTGACGTCACATTGTCTCGAATCTTCGAAGGATAAACATAGATTTCGAAAGTACTTCCTTGATGTTGCTTACTTTTTTCTCGTGCTTCATTCGATTCGGTGTAACGTAGCTTGATGGACAATGCCTAAATTCGATTGTGGCAGGTTCTCCTGCGTCTGCGAATGTTTTTCAGAATGTGGTTCTGATGCTATATTGATACGCACAAAAAAGGGTCGCCTCGTCAGGTTTACGTAAGAATTTTTTTTCTTTATAATTCTTAATAATGTGTCATAAAAACCTATAACAACGGCAGGAATCGTTAAAGCTTCTACGAACTGAGCTATTTACTGTTAATGATTTTTGTCGGTGACCGCAGACTCCTCTGTTCACTTGTTCTACTGTGACTATGATGGTCTGTTTCTACGAATTTCGTAATATAATTTTTATTACAGTGAGGTACAGATAAATTGCTGCAAAATTGTTATGAAAAGTAAAATTGTTTTGATATTCATTTTAAATGCAATCTGTTACTAAGTAGCAAATGTAGTTCGCTCCTGCAGAATCATCCCCAAACTTCAACCCTTAGTTTAAACTGCTGCAAAATTGTTATGCAAAATAAAATCGTTTTATGTACACAGTTTAAGTAAGAACGACATGCAATTTAAATTGCAATTTATTACTAACTGGCAAATGTAGTTTGCTCGCGTTGAATCATCCCTTAACTTCTTCGTCAATTTTAAACTGCCGCGAAATTATTTCGCGTACACAGTTTAAATACGAATTTCATTCAATAAAATTGCAATTTAATACTGACTGACAAATGCAGTCTGTTCGTGTAGAATAATCTCCTAGTTTGAACTGCTGCAAAATTATTATGCAAAATTTCCGGAATTTAAGAAACTAGTGTCAGACAAAACGTTGTCTCTTTCGTCAAATGATTTTCAATTTACGCGAAATAAAAATGTTCTGCATTTGTTGCAGCAAATGGGAGTTACTTGGGAATTTTTCCCTTTCTTTGATTCTAATAAATCAAAAATAATATATCGATACAGCTCAATCGTGTTTTGTCTTCCACCTTGACATTATAACCGTTTCCCACTTATGAATCTTGTCTGCAACGGTACACAAATCTTTCCGTTCGAGGTAGGAGCAGTCTCGATTCCGTTAATTGGCATGTAAAAATAGAGTTGTCAGCGTTTTTTCCACAGCGCAGTCCGTTTTATATTCATAAGCATGCTAATGTTTGACGATAACGTCGAATCAGAGTTCGATACGCATTGGTTAGTGTTTTTTTCCAAACATCGCCTAACTCCACCCAATGATTTGTGGTAACAGTGAGGGGCCTTGAGGCCGACTGCGTAGCGAATACAGTAAATTCTCTCCAATTGTCCTATAATTTGCAAACAAAAATGGACAACGATTGTCAACTACTATAAAAACAAGGCGCAAGGCTCGAATAATCGTATCTCCTCCTCCTAAAATGTCCATTTTCGTTCACACTCTGAAAGATAATTGGGAAGAATTTACTGTGTAACGGGGAAATTAATAATTGATCAAATGATTGATGCCGTGGAAACTACTAATAAATATTTTAACTCATAACGAGTCACATAAAAAATATATACTCTTATATACTCTCTATACATACACATATACTCTCTTTGACATTAGTAATAAAACAATTTGTTAATTTCAGATGTAAAGTAAACAGCGTGCAAACCGCAGTACAAATATTATTCGACTGTCTAATTTCTGACAATTGATCGAAAAAAGTTAACTCATCTGGAAGGAGTACCTTAAGAAATATATGGAATAATATTGTTTAAATAAAATTATAAATGATCCTAAGCATTCTCAGTTATATTTTTGTCAAAAGGGTCCACCGTTCGGGTGTTAAGCTGTGTTTCCAAGGAAAACCACAGGAATATGTGCTGCGAAATCTTCAGCAACGAGAGATTGTACATGTTGCAAGTGCACGAACCACTGTGATATCCTGTCGGAACGAACAACCTGTACCGTTTCTCGGCGATTAATTGTCACGCTCAAGGAGAAACGGGAAATGTATTCAAGTGTATATAGAACGAGCAAAAAATCCGGAAAAATATACATGCAGCAAGAACACGATTAGTTCTGCCAGTCGTTTAGCAGAGTAACTGATAAGGATCACTCATGATCCTGTCTCCCAAGTGTTCTCCATTTGTTCTATCCCCCTTCTACTCATTTTTCCTGTGAATGCTGAAACGTTTCCATAAATTGTCGCTTGCAGTATCGAAGCGATTGAACAATTTAAAGTCGAGACTATGGTACCATAATATGTACTTCGCATACGATTTAAAAAAATAACATATCTGTGATCTACTGAGCACAAGTTAGCCGCAAATGGCACTTTAGCTTGATTTGAAATCCACACGAAGCAGAATTTCCAACGAATTGATTTAAAAGTTTGAAATCGTTGTTTACTGTAACACGCGGGTGAGTCACTATGTTTAAGTATGCAATAGTTAGGCCAGCTCCGGCCGGAAGCAGCGGACAATAGGTTCATTTCGTCTTCTCGAGAGGCTGGCGAACGGAATTCTCGACTTTTTGATTTACGAATGAATTATATTATCAGCCGACACACGTGTGCACGTGATTAGTTTCCCGGTTGCTCGATCGTCGACGGTGATTACGGCAATTAAAATTTTACTCAATATACCATTATTCACGTCGTTATTCCTTCACGGCAATTAAACATTCCGACCGATCAATACGCTATTGCATTCCGTGGAAATCATATGAGTCGGTGAGTCGGCGTTGGTATCGTCCAATAAGGTTTCATATTTCGAACGAATTATCTAATAACCGTTAGTGAATGAGTAGCGAACAAGATCCGCTAAGTTCGATTCGCACGAATCCATGAATTTTATCTCGAATATAATGGAGATCATCTCAAGAACGATCGCTCGTAGAGTGTTTCCCTGTTTAATGCGTTCAAGGCCGTGAGAAATTTAACGCTTCCGGAAAGAACCTTGACCGTGAATTGTCAATCGTACGTCCATGTACCGGGTGATCGAAATGATTATAATTTATCTATTAACTTGAGCAGCTGCTAAAAATTTGTGGTATTTATATCTTGGAAGTCCTGCTCGATTTCGCGGATTATTGAAATATTATTATTGTTACAGTCTCTGAGGAGATACGGTATACTTCTTCGCGATTGTTATTTCCGTTATTTACCATACAAGAACGGAATTGCGGAAAACAGCTGCAAAGTATTAATGACTCTCCGTAAAAAGACTCTCATAAATATTATATAAAAAATGACTAACACAACTGGACCGTGACATGGTTTTTGTCCACCGAGAAAAAACTGTGGCAACTAATGGAAAAAGTTGAATGTGGCACATAGAAAAGTAGATATCTTCGTTTTTCTTTCGCATGGTTGGCTTTACGGAGCGCATCCACGATTTTAATATGAATGTTTGTGAAAGTGCATTTCACGATTTAATTTAGTGCGGAGATGACGTTGGTATAAACTTGTATTTTCTTGTTACTATTAACCAGAAAATTATCTTTCATTTTCCCGTATAAATTTGCAAACTTACGGATTACCGTTAGTGCTCTATTAAGAAATTTCTTAACCTTTATTTCAACGACACCCCAAATTCTAACGAACGGAATTCTATATTAATAATAATAATAATAATAATAATAATAATAAAATTCAATCTATAAATTCCACGAATATAAATTCGTGGGAATTTATAGATTGATTAAATAAATTTTCATTTCGATTAAGAATATATTATACTTCTTCAA